CAATTTTAACCGTGGACGACGGGTTTAAACTCAGCAATCATTGGAATGATGTCATCAACCAACTTTGGGTCGTGACTTGATTTGTGTTTTATTGTCCACATCCCCACCGTCAGCAGTTTGGGGGTTTGGAGTGAGGTGCAATGCTTTGATTGGTGTAGACCTCCTGCCGGTGTACGAGACCTCTCCTAAATTAACATAAGCTGCCCCGCCCATCTCTAAACCTTTATAGACAGCTGATTGGTGTAGACCTCCTGCCGATGTCGGAGCCCTCGCCAACATTAACATAAGCTGCCCCGCCCATCTCTAAACCTTTATAGACAGCTCATTGGTGTAGACCTACTGCCGGTGTTGAGGCCCTCTCCTACATTAACATAAGCTGCCCCGCCCATCTCTAAACCTTTATAGACAGCTGATTGGTGTAGACCTACTGCCGGTGTCGGAGCCCTCTCCTAAATTAACATAAGCTGCCCCGCCCATCTCTAAACCTTTATAGACAGCTGATTGGTGTAGACCTCCTGCCGATGTCGGAGCCCTCGCCAACATTAACATAAGCTGCCCCGCCCATCTCTAAACCTTTATAGACAGCTGATTGGTGTAGACCTACTGCCGGTGTTGAGGCCCTCTCCTACATTAACATAAGCTGCCCCGCCCATCTCTAAACCTTTATAGACAGCTGATTGGTGTAGACCTCCTGCCGGTGTCGGAGCCCTCTCCTAAATTAACATAAGCTGCCCCGCCCATCTCAAAACCTTTATAGACAGCTGATTGGTGTAGACCTCCTGCCGGTGTCGGAGCCCTCTCCTACATTAACATAAGCTGCCCCGCCCATCTCTAAAACCTTTATAGACAGCTGATTGGTGTAGATCTACTGCCGGTGTCGGAGCCCTCTCCTAAATTAACATAAGCTGCCCCGCCCATCTCTAAACCTTTATAGACAGCTGATTGGTGTAGACCTCCTGCCGATGTCGGAGCCCTCTCCTAAATTAACATAAGCTGCCCCGCCCATCTCAAAACCTTTATAGACAGCTGATTGGTGTAGACCTCCTGCCGGTGTCGGAGCCCTCTCCAACATTAACATAAGCTGCCCCGCCCATCTCAAAACCTTTATAGACAGCTGATTGGTGTAGGCCTCCTGCAGGTGTCGGAGCCCTCTCCTAAATTAACATAAGCTGCCCCGCCCATCTCTAAACCTTTATAGACAGCTGATTGGTGTAGACCTCCTGCCGGTGTCGGAGCCCTCTCCAACATTAACATAAGCTGCCCCGCCCATCTCAAAACCTTTATAGACAGCTGATTGGTGTAGACCTCCTGCCGGTGTCGGAGCCCTCTCCAACATTAACATAAGCTGCCCCGCCCATCTCAAAACCTTTATAGACAGCTGATTGGTGTAGACCTCCTGCCGGTGTCGGAGCCCTCTCCAACATTAACATAAGCTGCCCCGCCCATCTCAAAACCTTTATAGACAGCTGATTGGTGTAGGCCTCCTGCAGGTGTCGGAGCCCTCTCCTAAATTAACATAAGCTGCCCCGCCCATCTCTAAACCTTTATAGACAGCTGATTGGTGTAGACCTCCTGCCGGTGTCGGAGCCCTCTCCAACATTAACATAAGCTGCCCCGCCCATCTCAAAACCTTTATAGACAGCTGATTGGTGTAGGCCTCCTGCCGGTGTCGGAGCCCTCTCCTAAATTAACATAAGCTGCCCCGCCCATCTCTAAACCTTTATAGACAGCTGATTGGTGTAGACCTCCTGCCGGTGTCGGAGCCCTCGCCAACATTAAAATAAGCTGCCCCGCCCATCTCTAAACCTTTATAGACAGCTGATTGGTGTAGACCTACTGCCGGTGTCGGAGCCCTCTCCAACATTAACATAAGCTGCCCCGCCCATCTCTAAACCTTTATAGACAGCTGATTGGTGTAGACCTACTGCCGGTGTCGGAGCCCTCTCCAACATTAACATAAGCTGCCCCGCCCATCTCTAAACCTTTATAGACAGCTGATTGGTGTAGACCTACTGCCGGTGTCGGGGCCCTCTCCAACATTAACATAAGCTGCCCCGCCCATCTCTAAACCTTTATAAGCAGCCTGCCTCAGCAGCTTTGCCCCTCGTTTTTCACCTGATGACGATTGCTTGTGTTGAGATCGAAACGTCGTGATATTGTTATTATTTTAAAAATATTTTTTTCTATCTACGTGGTTTTACCGAAAGACCCAAAGAAGAGGAATCCCTGCAGTCACGAAAGCTTTAATTCAAGATATCCAGTAGTTTCACCGACACGTCGTGATTGATTTTATTTGATACCTACGTGACTTTACCGAAAGAACAAAGCAGTATAGATTCTAGTAGTTTCACAGATTCCAGTAGTTTCACATATTCCAGTAGTTTTACAGATGTCCAGTACTTTCACAGATGTTCCAATAGTTTCACAAGAAGCCCAGCAGTTTCTCAGATGTTCCATATAAGAAGAGGAAATACGAAAGTGTAGCGATTTGCAATAAAAAAAATACCTCGGATTTCCATGTGGGCACCATCCTGAGAAGATCATAGTATTTTGGTGGAGGATAATCATTTTGATCATGTGACCCCCTATTGTGGAGTGAGACAAGGCAGGGAGGGGGAGGGGCATGTCGGTCCTGGCTGCCAGCGATGTGTTGTGGCTTCCTGGAGGCAGGGTGTGGTGGACGGTCTTTTCCGAAGAGCGAGTTCAATGGGGGAGTGACAGGTGACCCCCAAGTATTTGATGTGGGATGTAGGATCATCATTTTAATCAGGTGACCCCCTATTGTGGAGTGAGACAAGGCAGGGGGGGGGGGAGGGGCATGTCGGTCCTGGCTGCCAGCGATGTGTTGTGGCTTCCTGGAGCCGGAGGATGGTGGTGGTTGGTGGGGGGGTTAAAGCTCTTCCCAAAGACCGTGTTTAATGAGAAAGTGACAGGTTAACCCCGCCTCCTCCAAGTATTTGATTTGGGATGTTGATGAAGGGTCATCATTTTCATCAGGTTGCGGCTCGTTGGAGCAGGGGTGTGAGGATCTTCCCAACGATCGAGTTTAATGAGAAAGTGACGGTGAGCACCCCCCCCCCCCCCCACACACAAGTATTTGATGTGGGATTGGGGGACCGTGTGAATTGGGGAGCAGTTCTTCGGGGGGGTGTTTTGGCTCGGGGATACTGGCAACAGAGGCCTCAACTCAGATTTGTGTTACATTCAATGTGTAGTTTAACACGTGGTAGGCTTTCGTGACCAAAGAATATGGATCCTTGCAGTCGCGAAAACTTCAAATCTAGAACCAATATTATCCATAAGAGTTTTTTTTTTGGGCCAGATCGTGGAAATATACAATGTGTCCTTAAACCCGCCACCACCCGACACAGCCAATTAGTAAGGTGCATCACGTAAACAACCACATGCCAATTCGTTTCTAGTGCTGTACTAGTAACGAATTGGCGTGTATTGGCTATGGACAAATCCTTGCTCATTGTCTGTGTCGGGTGGTGGCGGCGGGTTTAACGACACGTTGGGTATTTACTCGATCTAACCACAGAAGCCTCTATTATGGATTAAATCTGTAGCCCGATGCTTTAACGTCTTGCGCCAACAACGTTGCTGTGGCAGATATCGATGATTCGGGCTCCACGGACGTCACTGGAAACATCGTCTGCGTTAGAGGGGATCGTTCATTCGCCGACGAGCCGTATACGGTACACCAATAATAGATTGGCTCCTTCCTGACGCTTTCAAGCAAACGCCCCCATCGCTAAGGTGAATGGGCAGTTGCGAGAGAGAGAGAGAGAGCGGGCAACGCTTGCCTTGTCCCTCTGCCCAGCGAGTGCACCGTAGGGTTCGCGCGCAGGAGTCTGCACTTCTCTACTAATTAGTAGGGCAATTTGATTTTACCCGTTGCCCTAAAGAGGAAGGGCCATTCGGCTCCATCAAATGCTTTTCTCTCCGTCCAATGTAAGGGCGCAGTGCGGTAGGGTAATTTTTGTTGTGGCTGTCCAAATTGCACTGGCCAAGGTTTCGATGTTGTCCGACGAATCCCTGTGTTTGACAAACATCGTCTACGCTTAACGAGAACATCACCGGAAGAGTCTTCCCTGGTCTCCTTGCGATAATTTTGGTTAACAAAAAAAATATGTTGCTGTTGTTCGAATTCAGGAGGGAGATCAGTGCGCAGTTTCCCGTGGCATCTTCTGGGGTCCCTGTAGAGGCGTGTCTAAAGTATAGACAGTCATCGACTTACGAACACATGTACTTAAGAACGCCCATACTTACGAATGCCCGTACTTGCGAACGCCCGACTGACGAACGGTCGTAGTTACGAACCAGCTTCTATACAAATTTTTTTTAACTTAAAACGCGAACTCGCAATGGAAAACTGAACCATAGTTTCAATTCCATAAAGCTCCACATAAATTCCATCGGGACCTGCCACCTTCCCGCGGTGGGGGATGCAGCCAGTGCCGTCCGGAATTCCACGTCGGTGATGGATCTACAGAGTTCCTTGATGCCCTGTTCTGCATCTAATCAGGTGAAGAGAGATCTTGCCTATGGAAAAAAAATTGGTTAATAGTCTCAGAAGGTGGGGAATTCGATTTATAGAGGGACAAATACATTTATTTACAGCATTTGTTAATATCCTCAATTTCTAGCCAGTGGCGAGTCCGTTCTCTTTACAAATGGATGCAATGTGTGCGTGGTGCCTCCTATTTCCCACTCGTATTCTGGACGTGGCTGGGTTGGGGTCTTGGAATGGCGGTCAAGCTCTCTTTTATAGCTTTGGTTGTTTGATTATTTATCAGTTCACTTAGTTCGAGTTTTACCCCTAAACTATTTCTTTTAGGATGTCTGGAGGGTGCGAGCTTTTTAAAACCTCTCATGTCACGTGAACAGGATCGCCCCCACTTATTTTTCACCGTTCTTGATTCTGGCAAAAAAAGGAAAGGTCCCATTAGAAACAAAAAAATAAAAAATCCACTCTCCTAAATGTTAACGAACGTAAAAAAGCGGACGCGCCGACATCTTTCCCGTTCGCTTCTTTCATTCAACGGCAGGCCTTCACGATGTCCACGAACGCGTCATCGTCTTCGTTCGACTACGTCTACATGGAGAGCCCCTTCCAAGGCTTGGGAAACGGCGGGCACGCCTTCTTTGCCTTCTTCCTCCTCGTCTACGCCGCCACGCTCACGGGCAACTCCCTCCTCCTGACCGTGATCATCACGGACCGCTCGTTGCGTAGGCCCATGTACGTGATGCTCGCCAACCTCGTCACCAGCGACCTCATCGGCAGCACTGCGACGCTGCCGCGCATCATGTGCAACATCGTCGCCTCCAACGCCATCAGCCTGCCCGAGTGCTTCGCGCAGATGTTCTTCACGCACGTCTACGGTGTCCTCTCGAGCTTCTCCCTCTCTGCGATGACCGTCGACCGCTACCTGGCCATCTGTCAGCCGCTGCGCTACCACACGCTCATGCATAACGCGCGAGCGCTCAAGGTGAACGCGGCGCTGGCCTCGGTGTCCGTGATGCTCATCCTCATAATGATGTTGCTGATCGTGCGGCACAGCTTCTGCAAGGAGATGGTGATCCACATGCCCCACTGCGACCACATGACCATGGTGGCCCTGGCCTGCGACGACGTCACCGCCAACGAGTTCTACGACCTCATCACCAAGCTGCTGGGGCTGGGCGGCTGCCTGGCCATCGTGCTTGTCGCCTACCTGCGCATCGCGTTCGAGTGCCGTCAGCGGGCCACGCGCGAGGGCCAGGCGAAGGCCGTGCGGACAGTGGTCACTCACCTGCTGGTGGTGCTCATCTTCTTCATGTCGGGCCTCCTCATCGTGGTGGTGCACCGCTTGCAGAAGGTCTTCAACATGCCGGTGAACGTCATCGTCTACCTGGTGGTGAACTTCCACACCCTGCCCGCCCTGATGAACCCCATCATATACGGCCTGTGCTCGGCCGATATCCGGAGGGCCATCGCCAGGCTGGTGAGACGCAGAGTGGGGCCCGCTGAATGATTGAGGCTGGGGTGGGGCCTCTTCTGCTGAACTGGGAGGGCTTTGTACTGAGCTTGGGAGGATGTGCCCTCAGTTCGAGCGTTGAAACTGAGTTGGAGCGTTTGAGAGCGAGCTGGCGGCAGCAGCCGTCCGCTCTTAGAGCCCTGTATTCCCTCTGCCATCCCTTGCCTCCCCCGACATCTCTCTCCTTCTCTCTTCAACCTTCTTCCTCCCGTCCCCCCCCCCCCCCCCCCCCACAACGGCTATTTGTTTGATTTGTTATCTTGTCGAGGCCTTTCGGTTTGGTTTCTCCCCCGACCACGTCCGCTACCTGCGGCCCGCACCCACCGGGCAACCTCTTGGTGACCCGGCAGCCGTGGCCACTTCCGCGCCATCCCGCGAGACCGGCGGGCAGCTCCGTCGCGCTCGCCGGACGGATCTCGTTTTGGTGGGCAACGTGGCCGCTGTGCGTTGTGGCCGAAACGTCGTGATTTTTGGTTGTTTTATCAAATTTTTTTTTTTCACCTACGTGACTTTACCGAATAGAACCAAAGAGTACAACGTGGCATCGGCAGCCCCGGGACGTCGTCGGTGATTTGCGCGGTACCAAGGATGGGAGGTCGAGCTTGTGCCCCCCGGGGTGGGGCGGGGGGGGGGGAGTCTTCGACATATCAGCGTGCAGGGCACAGAGGGAAGCTTCGCGTCCGTGGCAAGGGAGCAGGGCCAAGGCTGCACGTTCTTTGTCGTGGACTCAATCGCCGTGGTCCCCTTCTCCCTCCTGGCTCCAGGCACTCGATGTCTCCCTGTGGCTTGCCGATGCGATGTTGGCTGATTATCTTTCCGCTCCTCCCCCCCCAAATATGACCAGGTCCCTATACCGACCCCTCTTTATCAATCCATCTTGCTTTGCTGTATCAAAACTACACCATGTGCAATAACCCAATTACTCTTTGGTTCGTTCGGTAAGGTCATGTAGAAAGAAAATAAATTAATTGATGGAGTACGACGTTTCGATTGCAACACAAACGGTCGTCAGAGACAAAACACAGACACGGAGACACACAGACAGACACACAAGCAGAGAGAGACTCACACAGAGACACACAGAGAGAGACACACACAGAGACAAACAGACAGAAACACAAGCAGAGAGAGACTCACACAGAGACACACAGAGAGAGACACACACACAGACACACAAGCAGAGAGAGACGACATACAGAGACACACAGAGAGAAACACACACATAGACACACAGACAGACACACAAGCAGAGAGAGACTCACACAGAGATACAGAGAGAGACACACACATAGACACACAGACAGACACACAAGCAGAGAGAGACGACATACAGAGACACACAGAGAGAGACACACACATAGACACACAGACATATAAGCAGAGAGAGACTCACAGAGACACAGAGAGAGACACACAATATAGACACACAGACACACAGACACACAGACACACAGACACACAGACACACAGACACACAGACACACAGACACACAAGCAGAGAGAGACTCACACATAGACACAGACAGACACACAAGCAGAGAGACTCACACAGAGACAGACAAAGATCCCCCATATAGCCTTAACAGACTGTAGGGGCAAGTGCTGTTAGCGAGCACCTATGAAGGCCAGAACGGTACACGAGGGGGTGGGTGGCCAGCACCACGCCCGACCGCCTTTGTCTCCCTAGTGGCAATGTTTACACACCCCACGAGGTACTCATTTGAGGCCTAGTCGACCTAGGGGAGGCCCAGGACCGGTTCAGATAATCGTCACTGGTGTTGGCCGTGAGCGGGAATCGAACCCGGGTCGCCAGGTTCATAGCGCAACGCGCTAACCGCTACACCACCGCTCCCCACACACAGACACACAGACAGGCACTCTCTTTCAAATTTAGTTCTACAGGATGACGAATGCTTGTGTTGCAATCAAAATCGAAACGTCGTATTCTATGGTTTAATTTATTTTCTTTCCACGTGACTTTAACGAAGGAACCAAAGAGTAATTCCTGCAGTCACAAAAGCTTCAAATAAAGTTTAATAGTCCAATTCTTTATTTCAAATTATTGTTATGCTATGTACAATTTTATAATTGCTGTAAGGCGCGATATGAATCACATGAAGATAATACATTAAGATACTGCGTTGGTGGGTATATACACAGTTGGTGGGGTTTATACTGAGATGGGTTTATACTGAGATGGGTTTACACTGAGATGTGTTTATACTGAGATGGGTTTATACTGAGATGGGTTTATACTGAGATGGGTTTGCACTGAGATGGGTTTACACTGAGTTGGGTTTATACTGAGATGGGTTTATACTGAGATGGGTTTATACTGAGATGGGTTTATACTGAGATGGGTTTATACTGAGATGGGTTTATACTGAGATGGGTTTATACAGAGATGGGTTTATACTGAGTTGGGTTTATACTGAGATGGGTTTATACTGAGATGGGTTTACACTGAGATGGGTTTATACTGAGATGGGTTTACACTGAGATGGGTTTATACTGAGATGGGTTTATACTGAGATGGGTTTATACTGAGATGGGTTTATACTGAGATGGGTTTATACTGAGATGGGTTTATACTGAGATGGGTTTATACTGAGATGGGTTTATACTGAGATGGGTTTATACTGAGATGGGTTTATACTGAGATGGGTTTACACTGAGATGGGTTTACACTGAGATGGGTTTATAATGAGATGGGTTTATACTGAAATGGGTTTATACTGATATGGGTTTACACTGAGATGGGTTTATACTGAGTTGGGTTTATACTGAGATGGGTTTATACTGAGATGGGTTTACACTGAGATGGGTTTACACTGAGATGGGTTTATACTGAGATGGGTTTATACTGAGATTGGTTTATACTGAGATGGGTTTATACTGAGATGGGTTTACACTGAGATGGGTTTATACTGAGATGGGTTTACACTGAGTTGGGTTTATACTGAGTTGGGTTTATACTGAGATGGGTTTACACTGAGATGGGTTTACACTGAGATGGGTTAATACTGAGATGGGTTTATACTGAGTTGGGTTTATACTGAGATGGGTTTATACTGAGATGGGTTTATACTGAGGTGGGTTTATACTGAGATGGGTTTATACTGAGATGGGTTTATACTGAGATGAGTTTATACTGAGATGGGTTTATACTGAGATGAGTTTATACTGAGATGGGTTTACACTGAGATGGGTTTATACTGAGATGGGTTTACACTGAGATGGGTTTATACTGAGATGGGTTTATACAGAGATGGGTTTATACTGAGATGGGTTTATACTGAGTTGGGTTTATACTGAGATGGGTTTATACTGAGATGGGTTTATACTGAGATGGGTTTACACTGAGTTGGGTTTATACTGAGTTAGGTTTATACTGAGATGGGTTTATACTGAGATGGGTTTATACTGAGATGGGTTTATACTGAGATGGGTTTATACTGAGTTGGGTTTATACTGAGATGGGCTTATACTGAGATGGGTTTATATTGAGATGGGTTTACACTGAGTTGGGTTTATGCTGAGATGGAAGGGTTGCTGATCCATGACCATGGTGAAGTGGACTACCGTGGTGAAGTGGACTTCCATGGTGAAGTGGACTACCGTGGTGAAGTGGACTACCGTGGTGAAGTGGACTTCCATGGTGAAGTGGACTACCATGGTGAAGTGGACTACCGTGGTGAAGTGGACTACCGTGGTGAAGTGGACTACCGTGGTGAAGTGGACTTCCATGGTGAAGTGGACTACCATGGTGAAGTGGACTACCGTGGTGAAGTGGACTACCATAGTGAAGTGGACTACCGTGGTGAAGTAAACTTCCATGGTGAAGTGGGGGAGGAGGATGGGGAGGGGAAGAAGGAGGTGGTGGCGGAGGTGGAGGAGGACGGGGAGGTGGAGCAGGTGGAGGAGGTGGAGGAGGTGGAGGAGGTGGAGGAGGTGGTGGAGGAGGTGGTGGAGGATTTGGAGGAGAACGAGGTGGAGGGGGAGGAGGAGGTTGAGAAGGAGGAGGTGGAGGAGGAGGTGGAGGAGGTGGAGGAGGCGGAGGAGGTGGAGGGGGTGGAGGAGGAGGTGCAGGAGGAGGCGAAGGAGGAGGACGAGGAGTTGGAGGAGGAGGTGGACGAGGTGGTTAATGAGGTGCTTGACGAGGTGCAGGAGGAGTGTAGATGTGAAGATCGCTCTCCTGCTCTGCCGACGCAACTCCCTCGCGGCTCATTAGCCGGCAGGGAGGCCGCTCGTCACCTCCCCCTCTGGGGGGGGGGGGGGGGGAGACCCTCCGCTTAATTAGCCGTGTGGGTAATGAGGCGGTGCAGAGGGGGGGAGGGAGGGAGGTTCCCCCCGCCTAAGTCGCCTGTCCGGGTCGCCTGTCTGCCCGTGTCTGAGTGTGTGTGGGGGGGGGGGGGAGCGGTGGCGCAGCGATTAGCGACCGGGGGCTGTGATACTGATCCGGCGAGAGACCCCAAAAGTTCAATTTCTCGCTCACGGTATAACACCACCACCAACATCGCCACCACCAACAACATCGCCACAACCAACAACATCGCCACCACCACCAACATCGCCACAACCACCAACATCGCCACCACCACCAACATCGCCACAACCACCAACATCGCCACCAACATCGCCACAACCAACAACATCGCCACCACCACCAACATCGCCACAACCAACAACATCGCCACCACCACCAACATCACCACAACCAACAACATCGCCACCACCACCAACATCGCCACAACCAACAACATCGCCACCACCACCAACATCGCCACCACCACCAACATCGCCACCACCACCAACATCGCCACAACCAACAACATCGCCACCACCACCAACATCGCCACCACCACCAACATCGCCACCACCACCAACATCGCCACCACCAACATCGCCACCACCAACATCTCCACCACCAACATCTCCACCGCCATCATCTCCACCACCATCTCCACCACCACCATCTCCACCACTACCAACATCTC